TTTTTTTTTTTTTATCAGAAACTCAGGAACTTGACATTGGCGACATCTTTTTCAGTAATCAAAATAGACGCCATTGGTCAACATATTTGTTCAATTCTTTTTTGCCCACGGAAATGGAACATCAAATTATGACAATTAATCTCACTTCAAGCGACAGGGATCAACTAAAATTTAAACCCTTTCAGGTACTGAAGTTTAATCATAAGCAGCATTTGTGAAATGTTCATATTCATCAAAGTTGAGAAGACTGCATTTTGCCGAAAGAGGCCTCCAGAAGATCAGATAACTTTATTTTGTACCCATCGCTCAGGTAGGCAGTTGAAAAAACATAATGGAAATGTGGTACATTATGAACTGCCATTGCCTGCTACAGCCTGAATTTGTCGGCAAAAAACTTACATGTACATGTTTCAATTCTGTTTAGTTTGCTGTATTCTTCTTAATTTGGAAATATTTCCTTAGCAGCCCGCAAGTTCAGTTGAAGAGCTCTGTTAACTGGATCAAGAAAACAAGGTAACTACAACAATAATGTATGAAGACTAATGTATTTAAGATTTCATCTTCTTGTATGATAATGCTGCACGACGTAGAGTCGCTAAAAACGTCTAGGAGCAGCAAAATACTGTTAGCAAACACGAAGTTTCGGAAGATAAAGTTTTGCATCTTAATCGTAAGGTAACCGTAGACCTTCAGGAGGGGTCTTTTGGAAAATCGTTTCTACTCGTATCACTTTTAACAAAACTATACAAAAATACATATCACCGTAAAGCCAATCAAATGAAGAATCAGAAGAAATAACTATTTTGAAGATTTCAGTTATTGATAAGTGGGCACAAGCCTTCAAACGCAAAACTGACAGTGGTTGCTGAACTCGGTTGCCTGGATTCGTGTTGGCACGTAGATAAAAAACAAGCTCCACCTTCGCAATCGGCAGATGAAGGACTAAAAAAAAGTGCGTGAGGCTTTACCGATATTGCTTTTGGTTAATGAGAAAATATATCTTGAATTAGACGGATATAATATTCTTTGGCCGATCTTGGTGACATAAGATTGCCTAAGAAATGAAGTATTTGAAATATCAAAAACAACACACTTCGGCGCATTGATAAGCGAGGGACATTTTGGCCAATTTTCGTAAAAAGCACCCAAATCTATATACCCTGTTTTATTAATTCAAAAATAAAGCCCGAGTTGTTGTCTCCCAAGGTTTTGCAAGCTTATCACACATTATCAAAAAACTGTCAACGCTGTCATGCTGTCGGCCAATGAAACTCCATCAAGCTTAGAACAAGATAGTTACAATAAAAATAACCCATTGCAATTTGCTGGAAAATATTATTTTACATTCATATTGATTTGCGATGAAGGAAAATTGAGATACAACAGCAAGCTAGGCTCCTGGCACGGGAAAACTGAATAGGAGGAAAAAACTCTATTCAGCGAAAGCGAAAAAAACGTGGAAGAAACGACTGCGAAATACCATCTAAAATCGATCAACCGCCGATCCGATACAAAA